ATTTTGGCAAATCACATATCATCTGAAAAAATAGTGGGCGGGTGGGCGGGGCTAGCACTTGCTAAGATAAAACTGATTTTGGCCAATGACATAGCTTCTAAGAAAATAAAGGGCAGGTGGGCGGGCTTAGTACTTGTTAAGATAAGACGGAACAATATTAAAAGAGTAGTCACTAGAATGAAGTGGGGGTGCGTGGGCGGGGCTACTGCTTGCTTGTAAGACTTCGTAGAAGAAAGCTATAGTCAGCTCCGCCCACTTCCTTTCTCCATTTCACTGACTTATTTTATCTGCTGTAAAATGAGAATTGAATTATTTTTTGACAAGAGGTATCTCAGTAATTATCAGAAAGAGAAAAAAGAATTGTTTGAAGACCATATAGTAAAATTATATTCAACTATACAGAGTGTCCTGTTTTCAAGGCAAACCACACAACTTTGTTTTTTTCGGATCTCAGATTCTATTAGTTTTCACTATCACTCGGAATATAAATTGCCTCGCCCACCCATCCCACCTCCATTTCAGTGATTGGTTTTATGTAATTTAAATGAAAGATCTATTTTATGACATATACTCTAAAAAATTGAGGGTGGGTGGGGCTAGCACTTGCTAAGATAAGACTGATTTTGGCAAATCACATAGCTTCCAAAAAATAAAGGGCGGGTGGGCGGGCTTCGTATTTGTTAAGATAAGACGGAATAATATTAAAAGAGTGGTCACTAGAATGAAGTGGGGGTGCGTGGGCGGGGCTACTGCTTGCTTGTATGACTTTGTCGAAAAACGCTATAGTCAGCTCCGCCCACTTCCTTTCTCCATTTCACTGACTTATTTTACCTGCTGTAAAATGACAATTCATTTATTTTTTGACGAGAGGTATCCCAGTAATTATCAGAAAGAGAAAAAAGAATTTTTTTGAAGACCATATACTAAAATTATATTCAACTATACAGAGTGTTCTGTTTTCAAGGCGAACCACACAACTTTGTTTTTTTCGGATCTCAGATTCTATTAGTTTCCACTACACTCAGTATATAATTTGCCCCGCCCAGCCACCCCACCTCCATTTCAGTGATTGGTTTTATATAATCTGTCTTATACTGAACAGAAACAAAATCAGTTGTTAGAGTGAGAAGAGCGCGAATAGGTGGGGCTAGAACTTGTTAAGATAATACTGATCTTGACAAATCACATATCCTCTGAAAAAATAGAGGGCGGGTGGGCGGGGCTAGCACTTGTTATGATAAGACGGAACAATATTAAAAGTGTAGTCACCAGAATGAAGAGGGGTGGGTGGGCGGGGCTACTGCTTATTTCTAAGACTGTGGAAAAAAGCCAGTTAGCTCCGCCTACTTTCTTTCACCATTCACTGACTTATTTTATCCACTGTACAATGAGAATTGATTTATATTTTGACAAGAAGTAACTCAGTAATTATCAGAAAAAGAAAAAGGAATTCATACACTAAAATTATTTTCAAGTATACAGAGTGTTCTGTTTTCAAGACGAACCACACAACTTAGTTTTTACTTCCCGAGCGTAAGCAAAGGAAGTATTGTAATCGAGTCCGTCGGCCGACTCTCTATTTTTACGTTTTCTCGATCTTTCATGACCCCTAGAAGACGAAGAAATAGGTCTCCCATTTCCGTCTGTCTGTCCGTCTGTCCGTCCGTCCGTCTGTCCGTCCGTCCGTCTGTCCGTCTGCCGTCCCGGATTTTTATTAGACAGATAATCTCCGAAAGTACTCGACCGATTGTTGTGAAATTTTGTACTTATATTAAGAATATCATGTAGATGGTAAAACGCTAACCAAAATTTGTCTAATCATCCCCACCACTAATGCGATGACGTCACTTCAAAATTGTACATAGTTAATGGGTTTTCAATTGTATAAAATAACATAGTCCTACACATGTAGTTTACAACTCTGAATTGACTTTTCACCCGAAACGTCCAGATTTTTGGAAAAAAAATCAAAATTACAAAACAACATTTTGAAATTTAATTTTTAATCTGCTAACCAGAATGCTTTGAAATGTTGCAGATGTTTTAAGGCTATAAAGAGCATCATAAATCTTTAGTCAAAAAATATTTGCTTATCCCCTCCAAAAACTTGATGACGTCAGCTCAAAAGTTTGTGGAATAAATCATATCTAAAATGTACAAAATATGATGAGTCTGTACTTGTGATCTATCACTCCATTCATATTTTTTGGATTTGCATATACAGGGTGACTCAAAAAAATTAATGAAGGCGTAAATTTATTTTACTGATTTACTCAGAAACTACAAAACCGAATGCTTTGAAATCTTGCAGATGTTTTAAGGTCATAAAGAGCATAATAAATGTTTAGTCAAAATATATTTGCTTATCCCCTTCAAAAACTTGATGACGTCAGCTCGAAAGTTTGCCGAATAAATCCTATCTAAACTGTACAAAATATGATGAGTCTGTACTTGTAATTTATCACTCCATTCATATTTTTTGGATTTGCATATACAGGGTGACTCAAAAAAATTAATGAATGCGTAAATATATTTTATTGATTTAATCAGGAACTACAAAAGGGAATGCTCTGACATCTTGCAGATGTTTTAAGGTTATAAAGAGCATAATAAATGTTTAGTCAAAATATATTTGCTTATCCCCTTCAAAAACTTGATGACGTCAGCTCGAAAATTTGTCGAATAAATCATATCTAAAATGTACAAAATATGATCAGTCTGTACTTGTGATCTATCACTCCATTCATATTTTTTGGATTTGCATATACAGGGTGATTCAAAAAAATAAATGAAAGCGTAAATTTATTTTACTGATTTACTCAGGAACTACAAAACCGAATGCTTCGAAATCTTGAAGATATTTTAAAATTATCATAAGCATGGTAAATTTTTGATCAAAATGTATTTGGTCGTCCCCCCTAAAAAATTTATGACGTCACCACAAAATTTTGCTGAATAAATCCTATCTAAAATGTACAAAATATGGTGAGTCTCTTCTTGTGATTTATCATTCCATTCAAATTTTTTCGATTTGCATATACAGGGTGACTCAAAAAAATTAATGAATGCGTAAATTTATTTTATTGATTTAATCAGGAACTACATAACCGAATGCTTTGAAATCTTGCAGATGTTTTAAGGTTATAAAGAGCATAATAAATTTTTAGTCAAAATATATTTGGTTATCTTCTACAAAAAACTGATGACGTCAGCTCAAAAGTTTGCCGAATAAATCGTATCTAAAATGTACAAAATATGATGAGTCTGTACTTGTGATTTATCATTCCATTCATATTTTTGGATTTGCATATGCAGGGTGACTCAAAAAAATTAATGAAGGCGTGAATTTATTTTATCGATTTAATCAGGAATTACAAAACCGAATGCTTTGAAATCTTGGGAATATTTTAAAGTTATTATAAGCATGGTAAACTTTTGTTCAAAATGTATTTGTTCATCCCTCCTAAAAAAATTGATGACGTCACCCTTAAATTTTGCTGAATAAATCCTATCTAAAATGCAAAAAATATGATGAGTTTGTACTTGTGATTTATCACTCCATTCATATTTTTTTGATTTTCTTAAGAGGTGGTTCAAAAAAATTAATGAAGTCAATTTATTTTATTGATTAAATTAAAGGCAACACTTATTATTAGTATTACACCCCAACCAACCCAATTTGGTAGACACAAAATTTGTTAAAGGAAAAACTCGGTTGAAACATAAGGGTAGCACGCTTATTTACATCGACTTTAACATTACAGACCTGCATTTGTTTTATGCGCTGACTTGGTTCCGCGAATGTGAAATAGACTTGTTTATAATCAACCAATTGTGAATTTCACCGTCAAGAATTAAAATAAAACCCAATGTTTTATATAATAAGCGGAAGTCGAAGCAATAAAACCGATGGTCGTTTTGTTTACAGTTTCTCTGTTTGACTCTCACGTATGCTGTTACGCTTGTCATCTTAAATTAAGAATGTTTATACATAAACGATTTTCAGTTGCCTTTCATATTACCAGACAGCGGATTTTTGTCGGGCTACGTCACGTTTAATCGGTATTAATTCCATAAATATAATTTACGATTTATTAATCAAACGGCTAAGTTAATGAGAACGGGAATTAACAGCAGAGTGCAACGAAACAGCGTTATTCTAATCTCAAATAAACGAAGTGCAGTCCGCAACCGCAATGAATTCGCATCCCGTACGAGCCGTACCGAGTTTGGCCTTGCCTAGCCCGACAGAAATCCGCTCTCTAGATATTACACACCGACGCCGTATACGTGAGTAAATTGTTTCGTTATTTTATTGATTATAACAAATCAATATTCAAAACGACCCGATTCATTTTCCCGAAAATTTGGGAATACAATAATTTTATTCTTAGTATTACACTACATCTATCCCAACTGATATACGTGTCCTTGCAAAAATGTTGATGACGTCATCACAATTTTTTTTTAAATTCCCACTACAAAAATGTAATGAGAAAAAAAAACACAATAGGCATGCACTCGTCAAGTTTCCGACAGCGAGGGAAGTACTGTCTAAACTCTTTAGACCAATTTTTTTACTTTTTTCGATTTTCAGATTCTATTAGTTTCCACTAACACTCAGAGTATAATTAGTTTGGCCCACCCACCCCGTCTCCATTTCAATGATTGGTTTTATGTAATCTTAATGAAAGATCTATCTTAGGCGGGGCTAGAACTTGCTAAGATAAGACTGATCTTGGCAAATGACATATCTTCTAAAAACATAGAGGGCGGGTGGGCGGGGCTAGCATTTGCTAAGATAAAACTGATTTTGGCCAATGACATAGCTTCTAAGAAAACAAAGGGCGGGTGGGTGGGGCTAGTACTTACCTTGATAAGACGGAACAATATTAAAAGAGTAGTCGTTAAAATGATTGATCACACTCTCCTCCAATAAAAATCCACTTTTCGATTTTATTGACCATTTTCCGCCCCCACCCCCAAATGAAACTCAAATACCACATCAGTATGCACAATTTATTTAATATTACGTTATACAACATTCAATAAATACGTAAACGTTATACTGACTGACTTTGAAGTTACAATCCCATAAAACATACAAACATCAATAAACTAGTAACACAGATAGACTTTAAACGATTCAAAAACGCGATATGAGCTCGTTTACCCTAACTTACAAAACTAGCCGATGGTACAACGGTACGTTCGGCTCGCGCTGGTTGCTCAAGAGCTGCGACAGCGTGTAGTAGTCGTTCTTGTTGGGCCCGTTCAAATACCGCAGCTCCCTGGTCGGGTCGTTCCTCTTCTTCGCCACCATGAACCTCTTCTTCCTCGCGTCGGCGAAGCCGCCCCATCGGCCGCGCTTCTCGAACGCCTTCTCGTCGTACATGTATCCGGAAGCTACGTCGTTGTGGCCGGTGGCGTGCGGGTACACGGGCGCGTCCATCCAGTTCTCCTCCTCCTCGATCTCGTCGGCCTGGGGCTCGCCCTCCATCGGCCACGGCCGGTAGCCGCTCTGGCGCTCGTTTTCGTACAGGGTCAGGATGGTGAGGATCTCCTCGGGGGTGAGGTCGATGTCGCGCTTGAAGCGCCCGTCCAGCCTGCGACCCCCCATTTGCCTAATTAAAAAGCCGCCCAATCGGGCGGAGTGCGCCGCCCCCGATCGATAGCACTTGTTGTAGCGACAGTGACGCAAACCCTATCGATCCAGGCGCCGCTCTTACCTGTTGCTACCGCACGTACCTGATCTTCCGGGCGTCCCGACGCCTTCTCCGACGACGGTCCTCGCCGTTGTAGTACCGGTATTGATTCAAGGGGGATGGGTCGCCGTAGAGTTCGGACTTGAGGACGGCGTTCTCGAGGGCTTCGTCGAGCTTGTCTTTGTTGGTGCCGTAGTGGAAGCCCTTCTCGTACTCGGCGATGGACTTGTCGTCGTAGGGGGTGTCGCTGTTGTAGAGGCTGGACTGGATGTTGGCGAGGCTGTCGGGGTTCTGGTACATGTTCTGCTCCTGTTCCCATTCGCTGAGGGTCTGTTGGTCGGGGGTGGGGTTCTTCAGGTTGTTGGTCCCTGGAACAACGAGTTTGATGGGTTCCTAAGGGTTATAGTTACTTGGTGGAGATCACTTATGAAGATTAAAAAGTGGCGCGGCTTCAACTTGGACCCTTGAGGTATTCGTTTTTTTATTTTAATCAATAAAAATTTGGTCGAAGGTTATTCCGACAGAACTTCCCCGGTCCCTAAAGTACAAGTCAACAAATCCCGCTTCTTTGACAAATTATATTTTTTTTGCGATTATTTTGCGGACAATATGAAATACGTATTGAAAGCAGATAATCAACGGAAAAAAATGCTTTTCGAAAAATTGAAATATCAAAAAAAAACAAATCAAAGAAATGAGAAATCTGAAATTTAAAAAATCGAAATCGAAAAGTCAAAAAATTTAAAAACTAGAAAATCCGAGATGTCGAGAAATCGGAAATTCGAAAAAGTGAAAAACTGGAATATTAAAAGATTTAAAGATCTGGAAATCTAAACATCAAAAAGTCGCAAAATTGAAAAATATATAATTTAAGGAATCAAAGTTGATCACCGAAAAACTGAAAAATCAAAAAAACGAAAAATCGAATAAACGAAAAATCTTAAATTTATAAAATCGAAATTAAATCGAAAAATAGATGAATTGAAAAATACCAAAACTGAAGTGTCGAAAAACTAAGAAATTGAACCATCGAAAAATTGGAAAATCCAAAAATTTTAAACTCGAAAATCGGAAAAATCGGAAAACCGAAAAATCGAATAATTGTAAACTGAAACATCGAATTCTTGATAAATTGAAAAATCGGAAAATGCAAAATTTAATAAATCAAAAAATTAAAGAATCGAGAATTCGAAAGTCGAAAACTTAAAAATTCGAAAAATTGAAAAAAAATCGAAGGACTGAAATATGTATCAAGAAATTAAAACAATAACATAAAGGAATTAAAAAATCAAAAAATTTATAAATCCAGAAATCGGAACATCGAAAAATTTAAAAATCGAGAAATCGAGAATTGGAAAAATCCAATAATTTGTAAATTGAAACATCGTAAAATGTCTCGATAAATTGAGACATAGAAAAATTGAAAAATCGAGAAATTGAAACATCGAAAAATTGAAAAATTTACGATCGAAAAATGTATACATATTTTAAAAAATCAAAATACTGAAAAATCGAGAAATCGAAAATCGAAAAACAGAAAAATCGAAGAACTGAAATATGGAGAAATTAAAATATTCAAAAATTAAAGAATCAAAAAATTTACAAATCTGAAAATCAAAAAATTGAAAAATCGAGAAATCGAAAATTTGAAAAATTCAAGGATTGAAAAACAGAAAAATCTCGAAGGACTGAAATATCAAGAAATTAAAACATTTAGGAATTAAAGAATCAAAAAATTCATAAACCCAGAAATCGAAACATCAAAAAATTGAAAAATCGAGAAATCGAAAAATCGAATAATTTGTAAATTCAAACATCGAATTCTCGATCAATTGAAACAGAAAAATTAAAAAAATGAGAAATTGAAACATCATAAAATCGAAAAACTGAAAAATATAACATCGAAAAATCTATAATTTCTTAAGTAAAAAAATTGAAAAATCAACAAACCGAGATATCGAAAAATTGAAAAATCGAGAGATCGAAGTCAAAAAATCGAAAATTTTAAAAATCGAAAAACTGGAAAATTGAAGTATTGAAAAAACAGAAAAATCGAAGGACTGAAATGTCAAGAAATTAAAACATTTAGGAATCAAAAAAGCAAAAAATCCGAATCCAGAAATGGAAAATTTGAAAAATCAAAAAATTGAAATAATAAAAAATCGAAAAAATGAAAAATTGAAGGACTGAAGAACTGAAAATAGAGAAATCGGGAAATAGGAACATCGAAAAATCTAAAGTCTAAAAGTCGATTAATCGAAAAATCGAAATTTTAAGAGCGACAAAGCGAAAAATTGAAAAATCGTAAAACTGAAATATCGGAAAATTGGGAAATCAGAAATCTAAAATTTAAAATATCGAAAAAGAGAAAAATCGAGAAATTGAAACATCAAAATATTGAAAAATCTAAGATAGCAAAAATCCAAAAAACTGAAAAATCCAGAAATCTAAAAATCGAAAGTAAAATCGAAAAATTGAAGAACACAAAAATAGGAGAATTGAAACGTCGAAAAATTGAAGAATCAAAAAATTGAAAAATTGGGAAATCAGAAAATCAAAAATTTAAACATTTTAAAAATCGAAAAATTGAAAAACTGAAAAATCAAAATATCTAGAATTGGAAACATTAAAAAATTGGAATATTTAAAATTTAAAAAAAATCGAAAAATTAAATAAATAGAAAAACTGAAAACCTGGAAAATCGAGAAATCCAAAAATCTAAAATTTAAAATATCGAAAAATTGAAAAGTCGGGAAATTGAAACAACAAAAATTAACAAATTAAAAAATTTAACATCGAAAAATTTAAAATTTCATAAATCAAAATATTGAAAAATCTAAAAATCCAGACATCGAAAAATCGACAGTCGAAAATTTAAAAATTTGAAACATTGAAAAATCGACAAATCGAAAGGTCGAAAAGTCAAAAAATCGAAAAATCCCAAAAATGAAATCACGAAAAATCGAAAACTTGAAAAATTGAAGGATTGAAAAACTGGAAATTCGAGAAATTTGGAAATGGGATCATCAAGAATCGAAAAATCGAAAGTCTAGAAGTCGATTAATCGAGAAATCGAAAAATTGAAACTTTAGGAGTGATAAAAACTGAAAAATTGAAGAATCGAAAAATTGAAAAATCGTAAACTGAAATATCGGAAAATTGAAAAATCGAAAAATCTAAAATAAAATATCGAAAAAGAGAACAATTGAGGAATTGAAATATCCAAAGATTGAACAATTGACGAATTTAAGATTGAAAAATTTTAAATTTCGAAAATCAAAATACTGAAAAATCGAGAAATCCAGATGTTGAAAAATCAAAGTCGGAAATTCAAAAATTCAATAAATTGAGAAATTCGAAAAGTCGAAAAATCGAAGAACCAAAAAAACCCAAAAATGAAACATCGAAAAATGGAGAAATCGAAAAACTGAAAAATTGGGAAATCAAAAGGTTGAAAAATAAAAAGTGGAAAATTTCAAAATTCGAAAAATTGAAAACCGTAAAATCGAAAGACAGAAAAATAAAAAAAATGATAAACCCACAAACCGAAACATCAAAAAATCGGAAAATTAAAAAATGAAAAATAGAAAAATTAAGATCTCGAAAAATTGAAAAATCGAGAAATGAAAATTGAGAATTCGAGAAATTCAAAAATCTAAAATTTAAAATAATGAAAAATTAAAATATCGAAAAAGAGAAAAATCGAGAAATTAGAACATCAAAAAATTGACAACATGCAAAAATTTAACTTCGAAAAATTTAACATTTCAAAAATCAAAAATCTGAATCGAGAAATTGAAAAATCAAAAAAGTGATAAACCCGCAACCGAAAAATAAAAAAAGTGAAAAACAGAAAAATCGGAGAACTGAAACCTTGAAGAATTAAAAAATTCAAAAGTGCGAGAATCAAAAGATCAAAAAATTGCAAAATCGAAGTGGAGAAGTCGACAAATCATAAATTTTAACAATCAAAAAATAGAAAAACTGAAAAAACTCAAACCGAGAAGTCGAAAAATTAAAAAAAATCTGAATTCGAAACATCAAAAAATTGGAAAATCTAAAATTAGAAAATTCGAAAAATAAAAAAACTAAAATATTAAAATTGACAATTCCAAAAATCAAAAATTTAAAATATGGACAAATTAAAATATCGGAAAACTAAAAAATAGAGAAATTGGAGCAGCCAAAAATTGAAAAATTTAAGATCGAATAATTTAAAATTTCGAAAATCAAAAAATTGAGAAGCCGAAAGTCGAGAAATTAAAATAATCGGGAAATTGAGAAATCAAAAAAATTGATAAACACGGAAAAAAAAACAACAAAAAATCGGAAAATTATAAAATTAAAAAGTCGAAAAGTCGAAAAATCCCAAAACTGAAAGTGAGAAATAAAAACTGAGAAATTGAAAAATACAAAAAATTGCAAAATCCCAAAACTGAAAATTCGAAAAATTAAAGAATCGAGAAATAAAAATCTAGAAAGCGAGAAATTCAAACATCTAAAATTTAAAATATCCAAAAAGGGAAAAATCAAGAAATTAAAAAACATCAAAAAATCGAAAAAATGACAAATTTAAGATCGAAAATTTAGAAATTTCAAAAATCAAAAAATTGGGAAAATTGAAAAATAGAGATATCGGAGAACCGAAACATTGAGAAATTAAAATTTCGAGAAATTGAAGAATCAAAAAATTTAAAAATGCGAGAATTAAATCATCAAAAAATAGAAAAATTGAAAAACCGACAAGTCGAAAACTCGAAATATCAAAAATTTTAAAAACCGAAAAATTGCAAAATTGGAAAACCTAAAAGCGAGAAGTCCAAAAATCAGAAAATCGAGAATTCGAAACATCTGAAAATAAAAAATTCGGAAAATTAAATAGAAAAATTGAAAAATGAAAAATCCAGAAATCCAAATATCTAAAATTTAAAATATCGAAAAATTTAAAATTCCATAAATCAAAATACTGAAAAAATGAGAAATCCAGACATCGAAAAATCGGAAAATTCAAAACTTGAGAAATCGAAAAGCCGAAAAATCGAAAAATCCCAAAACTGGAAAAATCTCGATATCTAGTATAAAAATTTAACATCGATTCATAAACCACAAATGGAGGAGTACGTTATTTTATAAAATTTAAATAAACCGAGAGACCTATGTTTTCGTACTCCAGTAGTCACGAAGCGTCGAGAAAACACCCCGATGGACTCGATTACACCCTTAACCTCACCAAGTAAACCTCCCACCAGACACCTTCCACTCCAATCCACTCATCCTAAAACCCCATAACATCACGTCGCTCGGTTTCTCCAACCCCCTCGACTGAAGCATTACATAATTCACACACGCCCGTGACCCCCAGCAGGAAAACCCCCACCAGTCTGCAGCAGGAATTCCGCAATTTCCTCTCCCGCAAACCCGTCCGAACGAAGACAATCCGCAGACAGCGAATAAAACCGTTATTAATGACACTTTTGCTTTTATTGTGGCCCATTTATTGGCGCTTTTATGGCTCATAGTGGAAGCTACATAAACCTTAATGACCGACGCTGCGTCGAGATTTTCCACAAAAAAAAAAAGGAGTCGAAGGTGAGGCGAAAAAGCGACTAAGAAAACTTGTTGCGGTGGAATTAAGCCCTCGAGCACGAACCTATAAATTGGAAAACTTTTACGAACTCCTTTATCTGCTACTAAAAGGATGATATTCCTGCATAAAGTCGTGGGTGGAATTTAATGTTTATTAAATAGAAAAGTTAGCAGTGGGTTTAGTTTTATTGGGTGAAATTAGGTTATATAAAAAGTCGGTTTTACAATGGGTGAAATCAAGACAAACAAGCAATTAGTAATTTCATCCGAAGTACGACGACGGGAGGGTCGTTAATAAAATTTGTTTCCTTGATTGACTTCACCTTGACATTTATGTTACCCTTGACATTTCAACCACGAAAAACTTGTTTGGTATTTTCCCGGCGCCTCCACCAAAGTCCGTTTTGTTGGTTTTGTTTAGTTGGCAGGTGTGCGTTATTACGATTAGTAACTAAACCCGCTTCACACTGGCACGTTTTCCAACAAAAGGGTTAATTAACCCAGGTGCTGTGTTACTTTAATTATGCGGTGTATTTACGTAACGGCATCCGGCCAACCACGTGCCGAGTTATATCACGTCGTTTATTTTCTACGATCTATATTGAAAGCAAATTGCCGATAATTGCCTGACCGGACGCACCGTTACCAACACAGATAAAACAAATAGTGAACTCACCTCTTTTGATTGCTGTTGGTTTGTTGAAATAGGGCACATCTGCCCTATCGTGTTCTTCCCCGTTGCTTAATTGCGCCCTTTTCACTGTAACAAAGTGCTTTTAATTACTTTACGTTGTCAGTCGTGTCAACAAGATAACACTTTATTGACCATTATGAGTACATTTTGTTTAATTACGATACCGACATGATTTAAGGGGTTCTATTTTTAAAATATATAAATAATCTCGAGTGGTTGGCAAACGACCTTATCTCCCTAATAGCTCATTTCAAAAACGTCAATAACCAAATGCTTTAAAAACACCAGCGGTTGGTAAGCCTGTCTGCTTAATAAAACTAATCGCAAGAGTGGTCGTCACAGCACCATCTTCCACCTCTCGAGGAGATAATTCAATCACTCGTCTAATGACAACAGCGAAAAGCTTTCACATCGAATCTACTTTTCTATCTTTTGAAGTGGCTTTTACGGGGAGGTTGAAGGTCGAGCCGACACGCTCTAATAAATCTGGAGAGGCTTTGGGGAAATTTACGACTTTTTGGGCTCCGCTTATTCATTATGTGCTTTAACAATTCATTAGTAGGACGTCGGGTAATGAAACTCGGAATATGCAACAGATTCGGGATCGATTGGCTGCAGACCTGTTGCTGGGCGCTTTCGGGGATTTTTGGTTTGTTTGTTTTTTGACATTTATGAGTCCGAAATTTGAATACACCAACTTGACGATACAAAAAAAAATTACATACATATAAAAATATAGTCCTCCAGTGTCCTCTTGGTTGCATATTTATTGCGACTTGGGTGAAATTGATGACCGAATTAAATTTTTCAAGCTTCAAAATTCGAAATATCATTAATAAAGACACTTAAAAACAGATTTGGGAGATCACTTATGAATGATAAAAAGTGTAGAGGCTTCAGAACCAACCCTTGATGCACTCCTGCTTCAGCATATTTATTACGATTTAGTGAAACTGAGTATGAAACAACGAAGAATTTTGCTAGTTAATAAAAAAAATTCCGTCCCCCTTGATACATTTATTACAATTATCGACTTCCAACCCCGCAAGGTCATCCCAAAAAATACAAAACCGTATCGATATTCGGGAAATCGTCCTACTTACCTTTGTTGTCCCTCATCTCGCTGGCCTTAATCTCTTCGACCAAGGAGGCAGGGATGGCGAGGGTCAGCACCAGACATGAGGCCAGAGTGGCCCATCTTATGCTCCACCTAAGCTCCATAGCGCGTCCGTCCTGGCTGAAGCGCTGAAAACTACTGAAAACCCGGCCGGTCGAGTAGCGACGTTTGAATGGTGCTAACGTGGGCGGCACGTCTACTACGCATCGCCCCGGGGGTGGGAAGTGGGAAAAAACCACGCACGCTTCCCCATTTTAATACCGAGTCAGGACGAAAAAAGAAAAATTAAGACAGACTCGGCGCCGGGAATTGGACGAATTTGCCTGCAAATGGGGGAGGTTTTATTGCGGGGGTGGAATATGCATTTTTGCACGACTGCGACGAATTCTTCCGGCTGGGTGTCTGCGCTTGATGGACACATTTTTTCTGTAAATTTAAGGGACGCTAGACGAGAGACAAGTTTGAATTGGGCGCCATTTGTTGCCTTAAACGCAACCAGCAATTCTTCTTTTAATCTACCTGATGCGCTGGAATAGACGACTACCCGACATCCTTATTATATTATTCAAACACAATTTTGACACTGTAGAGGAAACAAGGCTTCTCAAGCCCGTCTATTACTTTATTCGCCTAAATGTATTATTAATACCGTTTTCAAATTACACCAAAATTGAAAAATCGAAAACTTAATACTTGAAAAATTGAAACATTTTAAATGAAAAAAATCGGTAAACCGAAAAATTGAAAAATCTATGAATCGAGAAATTGAACAATCTAAAAATTAAACAATTTAAAAATCGAAGAATTGGAAAACCAAAAAATCTAAACCGAGAACTTGAAAAATAGAATAATCGAGAAATCAAAACATCAAGGAAAACAATAAAATTAACGGAAAATTTAGAACTTATAAATTGAAAAATTAAAATACCTATCGAAAAATTGAAAAAAATGGAAAAATTGAAGAACCGGAACATTGCAAAATCTCAGAACTGAAATACTGAAAAACTGAAAAATGGAAGGAAAATTGAAAAATCGAAAAAGTGAAAAAATTCAAAACTGAAATCTTGAAAAACTGAAAAATGGAAAGAAAATTAAAGAATCGGAAAAGTGAAAAAATCCAAAACTCAAACAATGAAAAATCCAGAAATCGAAAAATTGAAAAATCACAATTGAAGAAAGAATTGAAAAATCAAGAAATAGAGAAATGGGAAAATCAAAAAATCAGTTAATCGAAACATTGAAAAATCGACAAATTTAGAAACGTGAAAAATTGAAAACTGAAAAATAAAAAAATTTAAAAATCGTAAAACTGAAATATCGTAAAGTTAATAAATTGAAAAACTGAAAATTTTTGAAAAAAAAAATCGTATCAAAAATTAAAAATTCAAAAAATCGAGAAATTGAACAATCAAAAAATCAAAACATTGAAATCCCAGTAAAGTTGATAAATAGGAAAATTTAGAAAACAAAAATTTTAAAAATCCAAGAATTGAACAACAAAAAAAATCTAAGCCTGAAAACTCAGAAAATTGAATGATCGAGAACAAAAAATCTAAAATTTAAAAATTCGACAAATTGAAAAATCATGGAACTGAAAAATCGAAAAGTCGAGATAGTGAGAAATCTAAAAACCTAAAACTTTAAAAACTGAAAAATTAAAGTATCTAAAAATTTAAAAACCGGAAAAACACAATATCAAAAATCTGAAAAATTGAAGAAACGAAATATTGCAAAATTCCAAAGCTGAAATATTGAAAAACCTAAAAATGGAAGGAAAATTAAAGAATCGAAACAGTGAAAAAATCCCAAACTGAAACATTGAAAAATTGAGAAATGGAAAAATGGGAAAATAAAAAAAATTGGTCTGAAGAGTTTAGACAGTACTTCCCTCGCTATCGGAAACGTGACGACTGCATGCCTATTATTTTTTTTTTCACATTAGATTTCAAAGCATTCGGTTTTCTAGTTCCTGATTAAATCAATAAAATAAATTTGCGCAATCATTGAATTTTTTGAGTCACCCTGTATATCCGAATCCAAAAAATATGAATGGAATGATAAATTAGAAGAAGAGACTCATCATATTTTGTAAACTTTAAATAGGATTATACGGCAAACTTTTGAGCTGACATCATCAATTTTTTGGAGGGGATAAACAATTATATTTTGATTAAAAATTTATTATGCTCTTTATAACCTTAAAACATTTGCAAGATTTCAAAGCATTGATTTCTGTAGTTCCTGATTAAATCAATAAAATAAATTTACGCATTCATTAATTTTTGGGGTCATCCTGTATATGCAAATCCAAAAAACATGAATGGAATGATAAATCACAAGAAGAGACTCATCATATTTTATACAATTTAGATAGGATTTATTCAGCAAAATTTTGAGGTGACGTCATCAATTTTTTAGGGGGGATAAGTAAATATATTGTGATTAAAACGGTCTTGGTTTAATAACAAAAAAATATTGTTCGTCTATAAAACAAGCTCGTCTTAGACAAAATATTCGTAAAAAAGTATGTCGTAAAAAAATTTACGTATGCTGGTTCCGACTGCGATTATGGTTTAAATATATTTTAGAAAATCCTGTCATGGATGTAGAAACATTTGTGACAGCCAAAGAGGTTTTTTTGAGAAAATTATCTTTGAATTTAGACCAAATTGAATAAACACTAGGCAACAGGCACATTTGGGCAAAAGAAAGAGAAATTAGGGTTACGGCTTCAAATTTTGGACGTATTTACAAACTTAGAACAACTACAGCAATAGCTAAAACTGTGGAGTCTCTGTTGTACAGTACATTTAGAGGTAACAGTTATACATACTATGGACAGCAAAGTGAGGAAAAAGCTGTCAAGTGTTTTGAAATAAATAAAAATATAAAAACTGAACGGTGTGTCTTTATTTCAAAACAATTTCCTTACTTGGCTGCTAGTCCAGACAGGGTTCTAGAGGATAGGAGTGCATTAGTCGAAATTAAATGCCCTTCAAAATGGCAAGATTTGTCTCCCGAAGAAGCTGTTAGAAAAAAAAAATCAAATTTTGTACATTGACAGACAGAGAATTGAAACTAAAAAAAAATCATAATTACTACTTTCAAGTCCAGGGACAAATGCTTGTTACGGGTATTTCACAAGTTTATTTTGTTGTATGGACACCCAAAGGAATAAATGTAGAAAAAATTTATAAAGACGAAGAAAAATATGTAAAAAGATGGCAGATAAACTTGGCAGATTTTGCTTTGGCGCTTTATTGCCCGAAATAATTGATTCAAGAAGAAAGAGAAACCTGTCTTTGCGAGAGATTTTTTTAAAATAAATAAAATTTGTTTCTATTTTTTTATGTACTTTAATAATTTTATTAGGAGTACATTTTTCATCACCAAGACTCGCATACATATTTTGTATTATAAATATATTTTGAAAATGATCTCTCGGCAAATGAAAACATATACGAGCACTTTTTTCGAGTAAACAATGAAGGGAGAAGTTACTGGGCGTAGGGCTTTTTTAAAACACCTCCTTTCTGGGATAAGTAGTAGATACACTTAGATACTTATACGTGTTAAACAAAAGCTGTATTTTATATATTTTTTATTATTATTATAAATATGTTTATTAGTTTCATTAATTAAGAAAACAAAAAATATATTAACAATAATATTACAATGAATTTTTAGTAATCATGTGTATTTAATTCAGGATCCTGAGTGGAGTAAAAATATTATAGTTCCCCAGTTTTAATTCGGTTTTATGATAGTACCTCATTGCGTAAAAGTTAATTTCCTTAACAATAGATTACTACGGCCGGTCCTGGCAGCTTGTTATAAAACTGAGTTCCTTGCCATAAATTAGAAAAATCAGCCGAGAACTCTAACAATCAGCTTATGCTAGAGCAGGCGATAAGGGTTCTACCTGGAAAGTCGCTTCCGTAAATTTTAGTGGCTCTCCTATCGGCAAAGTACTGAACTAACTGCTCAAATTCTGTCGAATTGATACCCATTTTTTTCAATAATTGTTAGTTTTTGTTAAAAACTCTGCTAACCAATGGATCACTAATTTTCCTCTGATATTCTTGTTAAAATTATTCGACGTATTTTGCATTAATTTGTGGTATATTTTGATTTTAATAAACACATTATTATTTAAACAAATTGTACCACTAACAAACATTTAATGACTCCGCGCCCTGTAAAAAGTGATGTTTTATCCATGTGCGAATTTTCAAGCGATTCTATGATGGTTATGACTCAAAAAACTTGAAAAGAAAACATAAAATGGTGCTTTTTTACGATATTTCTCAGCCATATTTTTTTAGTTGATTGAACTGGTCTCTGCGCTCTAGAGTATGAAAAAAGCTGCAGTTTGATGTATGATACATCTATATAAAAATCATTTTTTCATACAAAAAAACAAAAAAATGTTATACCTCGTCTAGCAAGTTCCCTTAAATACAAACAACAAGGGGATAGGCAACCAATATTACATCAAACACCTGAACGTAATTGGGTAACTGATCGATGAATAACCAATGCAGATTAATCGTTTTGTCACATGTCGTAAAATGCACGTCGCCATTGGTCAGTCACCTCGATCAAAATGGCCATCAATTTTTTCTCGCGCTGTGCCACTTCCAGACAGGTTATTAATTTCTTATCAATTTTTTCTAATTTTGCGACACTTTCGACAAAAACATGAATAATTCAGCACGTCCAAGACTGAGTGAGTGGCGTTTTAATTAAAACTTTGATTAAAAGCAATAAACTTTATTTACATAATTGACAGTCAAGATTGAAAATTACGAGCTATCAGAACTGTATTTTTTCCTTTTTTTCGACTTCTTCTTTTTGCGTTTCTCGTGCTCGCTCTCCGAACTCGTTTCTTCCTTCCGTCTTTTGCTCTTCTTCGTCTTCTCCTTGTGCGATTTGTACTTTTTCTCTCTGTCTGACTCACTGGAGTGTGAAACGTTGCGCTTTTTCTGTCTTCGTTCTTGCTTTCGTTTTAAGTCGCTTGTTTTGTACTTAGGAGACCTCGATCTGTCTCTTTTCCTGTCGCGGTGTCTGTCAAGGTTTGCCCTATATCTGTCTCTTTCACGATCTTCATGTCTTCTATCCCTGTTTCTTCTACTGTAGTCGTCTTTATCCCGTTTGTATTCCTTCCGGAGTTCTTTTTTTTTCTCGACTTTCTTTCGTTCGCCATTCTTGTGGTACTCCCCTCTACCCAAATCGGCGTCTTTTTCCCCGTAATTTCGCACCCCGCGCCCCTTCCCCAGCCACTTGACTTTGGACACACTTTGGCTGAAATCCACGTGAATCCGTCTATCATCAATCAACACATTATCCATCTTAAAATAGGCGTCTTCGCACGATTTCTGGTCCTCGAACTCGACGAATGCGTACTGTAACGAGTCCCCGGTTTTTCTATCCCTGATCACCTCGCAAGACTTAATTTTGCCAAACCTGCTGAAAATAATCTCCAAGTCGTCGTCGTTCGTCACTGGATTTAATTTACAAACGAATAGAACATTCTCGGGGGGCGCCATTTCCGCGTCGGGAATATCCCCCACCATCTCTAGTATCGTAGCTCTGGCTTTAGCCTCCCTGTCGGCAATCATCTCACACACTTCCTCCGCCGTTTTTCCCGCAGTCTCGTCAATTTCTTCATCCGGCGCGATCCGGCCTCCTTTCAGCCGCTCCGCGCTCGGTGACGGCGACCGCGACGGGGCTCGCAATCCCTCAGGATCCGGCAGCGGGTCATCCAGAACCACCGTATGCGTGATTCTTATATCCTGATAGGGTCGGTCATCCGTGTCACAGATAGCTTCATTGATCACCTCCAGCACGTCCACTCCTTCCACCACCTCCCCAAACACGCAATGTTTTTCATCCAAGTACGTCAGGTCGCTCCCGAGGGTGAAAAAAAACTGGGACCCCACCATGTTGTCTTCGTTCCCTACAAACGAGATTAAACCCATTGTGGTGTGCTTGATTCTGGGGTTGATTTCGGGCTCGAAGTAGCGCTTGACGGGGCCTTCGATGACGCCGAAGATGGACTCGCCGCCGGTGCGGCTGCCCGTGGGGTCGCCGGTTTGCGCGATGAAGCCTCTGGTGACTGTGTGGAAGAGGCTGTAGTTGTAGTACTTCATTTTGCACAGTTTGAGGAAGTTGAGGCAGGCGCGGGGGCGGCGCTTGATGTACAAGTCCACGGTGATGTCGCCGAGGGTGGTTTCCACTACGACCGACATTTTAGGTTAGGTGAGGTTAGGGCGGATTAGGAGGTTGTGGTGGTGAAAGGTGCAGCGGAATTACGGTTTTTGGTGGGTTTTGGCATCAGTGTGCGGCGGTTTGTGGTTGTGGGGGCTGCAGAGACAATTTTTGAGTTTGTTGTTTGGGTGACAGGTGACATTTGGTGGCGTCGGGAAGCGGGGATCAGAGAACATAGAGAAGGGTCAAGTTTACTCGACTGACGTTGGCAACGGTGTTTGTTTCTAACTACAGTAGCGGTCATTTCTACGGAACCACTCGATAAAAAGTCAAGTTGGTAGCCCTGTCATCTAGTACTTTACGCCGAACGCGGTTGGTAGCGGTAGTTGACATGGCAATCGAAATTAGCACAACACGAATGTTTCGGTTGCCCTCAGCTATGCCGCACTGTATCCCATGCAGACTGTATGTTCTGTTCACCTATTTATTAAAATAAAATATCTACATTGACAATAGGGCCATCTAACCTGTCAAATTTTTGACACATATGTTTTCCCCCAGAAACCCGTCAAGGTCACTTACACCAAACAAATTTTGAAAATTTACACTAGGGAGTGGTTCTATAGAAAAGATCGCGACTTTAGGAATAATAATAATAATCCGTGATCTGATACACATTCTAACCGGTTTCGACCATAATTTCTTGCTGTTTCAACTTTCGAATTCATCTATTTTATTATTCAATTATTTTCTCTTCAATTTTACGATTTTTAAATATTTCGATTTTTCAATTTTTGACTTTTACGAACTCTTTATTTGTTGACTTTTCAATTAATTGATTTTTCAGGTTTTTTGGTTTTTCAATTTTTCTATTTTTTCAGGTTTCGATTTTTCAACTTCACTTTTTTGATTTTTCGATTTCTCAATTTTTTAATTTCTCAGTTTTTGGACATTTCAGTTTTGGGATTTTTCAGTTAAGTAATTATTCAATTTTCCGATCTTACGATTTTGCAGGTATTTGATTTTTCATTTTTTCGATTTTTTTAAGGTTTCGATATTTCGACATCAATTTATTGATTTTTCGATTTCTCAATTTTTCGATTCTTTACATTTTCGGTTTTTGGATATTTCAGTTCTGGATTTTTAGACGTGTCGACTTTTTGCTTTTTCGATTTTTAAATTTTAGATTTTTCAGTTTTTTGATATTTTAATTTTTAAATATTTAAAATTTTAGAATTTTCGATTTCTCGATTTTTCAATTTCCGGTTTTAGATTTTCTTTTTCTATTGTCGTTTATTCAATTTTTCGATTTTTAAATTTTAGATTTTTCAGTTTTTTGATATTTTAATTTTTCAATGTTTAAAATTTTAGATTTTTCGATTTCTCGATTTTTCATTCCAGTTCTTCGATATTTCCGTTCTTCAAGTTTTCGAATTTTTCAAATATTTTGATTTCTTAATCTATCGATTTTTGGACTTCCCGGTTTTAGATTTTCTGTTTTTCAATTGTCGTTTTTTCAAATCTTCGATTTTTTAATTTTTCAAATTTGACATTTATAAACTGGCAATTTTTCGTTTTTTCAAATAATCGATGTTTTGATTTTCCCATTTCTTGACTTTCGAGGGTTTCGATATTCCTGTTCTTCAATTCTTTAATTTTTTGGTTTTTCATTTTTTAGTTTTTTTTAAAGTTCAAAAAAATTTCCAGATTTTTTGAATTTTTCAAAATTTCCAGATTTTTTAAAATTTTCAAAATTTCCAGTTTTTTTGGATTTTTCGAAAATTTCAGATTTTTTGGAATTTTAAAAATTTCCAGATTTTTTGGTTTTTCAAAATTTCCAAATTTTTTGAATTTTTCAAAATTTCCAGACTTTTTAAATTTTTCAAAATTTCCGGATTTTTTGAAATTTTCAAAATTTCCAGACTTTGGATTTTTCAAAATTTCCTAGATTTTTTGGATTTTTCGAAATTCCCAGATTTTTTGGATTTTTCGAAATTTCCAGATTTTTTGGAGTTTTCAAAATTTCCAGATTTTTTGAATTTTCCAAAATTTCCAGATTTTTTGGTATTTTCAAAAATTTCAGTTTTTGGTATTTTCGAAATTTTCAGATATTTTGGATTTTTCAAAATTTCCACATTTTTTGGAAGTTTCAAAATTAACAGATTTTTTGGATTTTTCAAAATATCCAGATTTTTGGATTTTTCGTAATTTCCAGATTTTTTGGAGTTTTCAAAATTTCCAGATTTTTTGAATTTTCCAAAATTTCTAGATTTTTTGGATTTTTCTAAATTTTCGGTTTTTTCAATTTTTTTGGTTTTTTGGGATTTTAGATTTTTGGATTTCTGGATTTTTAGATTTTTAGAATTTTAGATTTTTTAGTTCTTCAATATTTTTTAAATTTTCAAATTTAGAGGTTTCTGAATTTTTTCGTCTTTTTAGGTTCTTAATTTTTGGATATTTCAGTTTTCGGATTTTTCAGGTTTTCCATTTTTCAGTTTTTCTTTCATTTTTCAATATTTCGATTCTCCGACTTTTCGATTTTTGACTCCTGGATTTTTCGATGTGTCGATTATTTTACTTTTTCAATTTTTCATTTTTAGATTTTTTAATTTTTTAAATTTTAGATTTTTCGATTTCTCGATTTTTCAGTTCAGTTCTTCGATATTTAAATTTTTCAAGTTTTTGGGTTTTTCAAATGTTTCGATTTCTTAATCTTTTGATTTTTCGACTTCCCGGTTTTAGATTTTTTGTTTTTTAATTGTCATTTTGCCAAATTTTCGATTTTTTAATTTTTCAAATTTGACTTTCATAAACTCTCAATTTTTCGATTTTTCCAATAATCGATGTTTTGTTTGGATTTTCTTGTTCTTCAGTTTTTTAAATTTATAGATTTTTCAGGTTTTTGATTTTTCAATTTTTCGATTTTTCAAGGTTACTATTTTTCAACTTCACTTTTTTGATTTTTCGATTATTCAGTTTTAGGATTTTTCAATATTTCAATTCTTCGGCTTTTCTATTTTTGACTTCTGGATTTTTCGATGTGTCTACCTTTTTACTTTTTCGATTTTTCAATTTTTGGATTTTAAAATTTTAGATTTTTCAATTTTTTGTATTTTAATTTTTCAATATTTAAACTTTTAGATTTTTCGATTTCTCGATTTTTCATTTCAGCTCTTCCATATTTCAATTTTTCAAATGTTTCGATTTCTTAATCTTTTGGTTTTTCGACTTCCGGGTTTTAGATTTTCTGTTTTTCAATTGTCGTTTTTTCAATTTTTCGATTTTTATATTTTAGATTTTTCAGTTTTTTGATATTTTAATTTTTCAATATTTAAAATTTTAGATTTTTTGATTTCTCGAATTTTCATTTCAGTTCTTCGATATTTCCGTTTTTTAAGTTTTCGAATTTTTCAAATGTTTTGATTTCTTATTTATCTATCGATTTTTCGACTTCCCAGTTTTAGATTTTCTATTTTTCAATTGTCGTTTTTTCAAATTTTCGATTTTTCAATTTTTCAAATTTGACATTGTTATAAACGGTTAATTTTTCGATTTTTCAATTAATCGATGTTTTGATTTTCCCATTTCTTGACTTTCGATCTTTAAGGTTCTCAGTTTTCGGATTTTTCAGGTTTTCCATTTTTCTGTTTTTCTTTCATTTTTCAGTTTTTCGATATCCCAGTTTTGGGATTTTTAAATATTTCGATTCTTCGACTTTTCGATTTTTGACTCCTGGATTTTTCGATGTGTCGATTATTTTACTTTTTCGATTTTTCAATTTTAGTTTTTTTAAGTTTTTAAATTTTAGATTTTTTGATTTCTCGATTTTTCAGTTCAGTTCTTCGATATTTGAATTTTTCAAGTTTTCGAATTTTTCAAATGTTTCGATTTCTTAATCTTTTGATTTTTCGACTTCCCGGTTTTAGAATTTCTGTTCAATTGTCATTATGTCAAATTTTCGATTTTTTTATTTTTCAAATTTGACTTTCATAAACTCTCAATTTTTCGATTTTTCAATCAATCGATGTTTCGATTTTCCCATTTCTTGACCTTCGAATGTTTCGATTTTCCTGTTCTTCAGTTCTTTAATTTTTTGATTTTTCAGGTTTTTGATTTTTCAATTTTTCGATTTTTTAAGGTTTCCATTTTACGACTTCACTTTTTTGATTTTTCGATTTTTCAATTTTTAGATATTTCAGTTTTAGGATTTTTCAATATTTCAGTTGTTCGGCTTTTCTATTTTTGACTTCTGGATTTTTCGATGTGTCTACCTTTTTACTTTTTCGATTTTTCAATTTTTAGATTTTTAAATTTTAGATTTTTCAATCTTTTGATATTTTAATTTTTCAATATTTCTTAATCTTTCGATTTTTCGACTTCCTGGTTTTAGATGTTCAGTTTTTCAATTTTTCGATTTGTTCATTTTTCATTCCCGATTTATCGAGATTTGATTGCTCAAGTTTTCGATTTATCAGTTTTTCAATTTTTTATTTTGGCCTATTTCGGTTTCTCAGTTTTTCCAGTTTTCCATTTTTTCGTTTTTTGATTTTTCCGCTTTTCCAATTTTTCAACTTTTAACTTTTTGTTGTCGATTTCCCTATTTTTCCCTTCGATTTTGGCCTATTTCGGTTTCTCAATTGTCGAATTTTCGACTCCACGATTTCTTGATCTTTTGATTTTTCGATTTCTCGATTTTTCGTTATTCGGTTTTTGAATTCTAGATTTTTGAATTTTTCTTTTTTTTTCTCACTGTTAATATCATATAAATTGTCACTAAAAACATTTAAAAATTCGCACAAAATAGAACAGTGTTTCCAAACATTTTCCCTAAAACAGTCCATTGGGTTATTACGATTTCAACAATATTCTTAGTTTAAAACGTTTTTTGGAATAAAACACAAATAAAGAATTAATTCTTATTAGTTAAACAAAATATGCAAAAACTATTTAAATTTCGCGCTTGTTTTTGGCGGTTGGGGACTCCAATGTCAATAAGGGTGGTTTTGCAAAATCAGCCTGTATGTCGCATCTATATTAATCTATGGCCAGCCGGTGTGTCGATTGAGTCGAAAAATGAGTGTGATTTTTTCGTAAATCGGACAATTAAAACGACAAGTGCAGAGATAAATCCACGTTTGGACTATCGCACCAGTTGACTGTTTCACGGAATTTTCGTAAAATGTTTTTTTTTGTGTGACAGTTGTTCTTTTTTTGAATTTGGCGGCCGTCGCTGTCACCCCGTCGGTAAACTGTCACTCAGTTTAAAGATGGCCGATGACAAGAATCGGATTGAATAAAAATCCAGCGCTAATTTGCTGTAAAAACTGTAAAAATAGTGATATGTAAATATATATGTTATTCATAAATGTAAATATTAGCCCGTAACTGTACTGTGATATTGGTAATGGCCGATGCGGACGCGACGGAGCAGGAAAGGAAAGAGCTTCACATAATTCAATCCATGATTGATGTTTCTGCTCAACGCTTAGAGGGGCTCCGGACACAATGTGCGACCAGCGCGGAACTGACCCAACAAGAGATCCGAACCCTAGAGGTAGCCCAACCCCGCACCGCCAAACCGCCCCTCAAAACCCCATTTTCAGGGCAAACTCATCAAACTCTTCTCGAACCAACTCGTCACCAAGCTAAAAGTACATGACAAAGACGTCGAGCACATCCCGTCGCTGCGCCAGTGGCTGCAGGTGGTCGGCCTCAACGCCGCCTCCATCCAGAGCATCTGCGACCGGATCGCCACCATCGAGGAGCTCCAGGAGAAGTCCGAGCACGAGCTGAGGATGATCCTCAACGAGCACGCGCCCCCCGAGGAGCTCAACCGGCTGTGCCGCGCCCTCCACAACCTGAAGCGCTACACAGGTGCGGCTCGCCGCGTGCCCCTCGTTGTACTAACCTTGTGTTTCGCAGATGTCTTGAAGAAGGGGGAGAACGAAAACTCGGATATGAACCTGTACTGGGACTCGTGGGACCGCGGCGAGAAGCAGCAGACGATGAAGACGCTGGCGGCGCCGGCGGCGCCCGTCGCGGCGCCGGTGCCGCCAGTCGGGGGGCTGTCGCCGCGGACGGGGCGCTCGCGGGCCGCCAGGGCCTCGGTCCCGTCCGAGGAGAGTTTAAGTGTGTTCAACAGTCGCGGAGGTGCGATCCCTCCCTCCTCCTCTGTGTCTAGCATCAATTCTCTGAATGCTCACTGTGTGCTTGGGCCTCCCCTTACTCCCCCGCCCCAAACCAGGGGGAAAGGTACGCATGGGTAGCATGTTCCTGGGGTTTACGGGTTGCGCAGGGTACGGGTCGGTGGCGTGGGGTTCAAGGTCAGGTGAGCGAATTTGTTCAAATGGGATTTAAATCGTCACTTAAATTGTTATTTTGGAATGATCGTCATGCATTTGCGTGGTTCACCACCTCCCAGTTCGATTTGTTTTGGTTTGGTCTGCACTAAATTCATGTGACCCTTGTCGGACGTGGCCGACGAGAACCGAACCGCTTTTGTCGAAGTTGTCGTAAACGCATGTCCCGTGGTTAGGGTCGGTTTATCAATGCGCAGTTAAGTTAAAGTAACAGTTTAAACTGTCAGTTAAAGCGTTATCCACCAGTTAGTGGCAACATAACCTAACAAATCCAAATAAATTTATTTTTATGACGTCACCTTAAAATTTTGCAGAATAAATCCTATCTTAAATGTATAAAATATGATGAGTTTTTATACTTGTGATTTATCACTGCATTAATATTTTTTAGATTTGGTTATACAGGGTGTCTCAAAAAAGTTAATGACTGAGTCAATTTATTTTATTGAAGAAATCAAGAATAGCAAAATTGAATACTTTGAAATATTGTAGATGTTTTGAAGTTTTTGTAAGCATGGTAACTTTTTTGAAAATTTGATTAATATGCGCAAAATCAAAAATCGGAAAAAATGAAATTCACAAATGCAAAAAACAGAAAATAGAAAAATACGAATCGTAAAAGTCAAAAAAATAAAATGGCTAATTAAAAAATCGAAAATTCAATGAATCAAATACCTGGGTCGATCGAAAAGTGGAAATTCACAAACCTCAAAAATCGAAAAATCGAAAATTGAAAAACGGGAAAACCGAAAAATCGAAAAGTAATATTGAAAATTAAAAAAATCAAAAACGAAAATAAAAAAAATCGGAAATTAAAATAATCAATATATATGAAGTAGAAAAAATTGCAAATCGAAAAACTGAAAAATCAAAAATGAATAAATTAATAGGTATAAAATGAAAACTGAAAAATCTATAAACAGGAAATACAGAACCTGAAAAAAACGAAAAAAGCGAAATATTGTAAAAGCTAAATATTGAAAATTAAAGAAATTGGAAGATTGGATAATTGAGAAATTCAAAAATTACAAAATTAAAAAATTAAAAAATTCGAAAATCGAGGAATTGAAAAATAGAAATTGAGAAATTGAAAAATCGAAATATGAAAAATATTAATATCGAAAAATTGCAAAACGACAAAATAAAAAAACAAAAATGAAAAAACGAAAAAATATAAAATGAAAACTTTGAAAAATCTATAAACAGAAATTAAGAACATGGAAAATTGTGGAAACGAAAAATTGAGAAATTGAAAAAGTGCGAAATCGAAAAACCGAAATATTGTAAAATCGAAATGTTGAAAATTAAAGAAATCGGAAAATTGAATTGGGAAATTAAAAAATTGCAAAATTGAAAAATTAAAAAATTGGAAAATCGATGAATTGAAAAATCAAAGAATGGAAATTTGAAAACTTGAATAATAAACAAAAAATTATAAAATTGAAAGAAGCATTGAAAAAGTGAAAGATTGTGAAATAAAATCGAGAAAATGAAATTTCAAAATGGAGAAAACGAACAATTAAACTTGAAATATTGAGACATGGAAAATCTAAAAAATTGAAAATTAAGTAACTGGAAAATCGAAAAATTGAAAAAACAAAAATGAAAACACGATAATGTATAGAATGAAAACTTTGAAAAATCTAAAAACAGGAAATACAGAACCTGAAAATTGAAGAAACGAAAATTTGAAAAATTGCAAGATTAAAAATTGAGAAACTGAAAAATCGAAAAAGTGCGAAAACGAAAAAAGCGAAATATTGTAAAATTAAAGAAATCGCAAAATCGGATAATTGAGAAATTCAAAAATTACAAAATTGAAAAATTTAAAAATTGGAAAATCGAAAAATTGAAAAATCAAAGATTGTAAATTTGAAAATATGAATTAACGAAAAATTATAAAATTGAAAGAAGCATTGAAAAAATGAAAAATTATGAAATAAAATCGAGAAAATTAAATTTAAAAAGGGGAAAAAGACAAATAAAAATCAAAAATTTGAAAAATTGAGAATAAGAAAATTGGAAAAATTAAAAAATTAAAAATTCGAAAAATCAAAACCGAAAAATTCAAAGATTTAAAAAGAAAATCGAAAAATCAAAAATCTGAAAATTGAAACTCGAAAATTTGGAAAATCGAAAAGTAAAAAAATTGAAGTCTAAAAGCTGAAAAATGGAAAACTGAACAATCGAAAATTCGAAAATCAAATATCGAAAAATCGAAAATTTGATAAATGAGATATGCGAAAAACAGAAAATCTGAAAATACAAAACTGGAAAATCAAAAATCTAAAAATGGAAAAACCGAAAATCAAAAATTCAATGAATCTAATATGTAGGTCGATCGAAAAACTGGAAATTCACAAATCTGAAAAATCGAAACTTTGCAAGATTGAAAAACCGAGAATTGAAAAATCAAAAAACCGAAAAATGGAAAAATCAAAAATCGAAAAATAGGAAAACCGAAAATTCGAAAATTCATAATATTGAAAACTCTAAAAGTCGACAATTCAAAAATCAAAAAATTGGAAAGTAAAATAATCGAAAAATCGAAAAGTAAACAAATTGCAAAGCCTAAAAACTGACGAACAGAAAAATCGAAAAATCGTAAAATCAAAAAGTGGAAAATCGAAAACTGGAAATTGAAAAATCGAAAATCGGAATATCGAGAATCGACAAATTAAAAAACCGAAAAATCGAAAAATTAAAAAATCGGAAATCGAAAAATGAAAGAAAAACCAAAATTCAAAAATCGAATAATCCAAAACTAAAATAATAGAAAAGTGGAAAAGTAAAAATTGCAAAGTTCCGATTTTTTTTATTTTTGAATTCTTGATTTTTCAATTTTCCGGTTTTTTAATTCTTCTATTCTCGATTTTTCGATTTTCCATTAATCATTAAATTTTCCATTTTTCGGTTGTTTTATTTTTCGACCTTCGATTTTTCAACTTTCGATTATTCGATTTTCCATTTTCTGATTTTACGATTTTTCGATTTGCGATTTTCGTTTTTCCGCTTTTGTGGTTTTTAGATTTTTCTGTTTGTTTCAGTTTTTATGGTTCTGCAATTTGTTTTATTTTTCCATTTTTCGATTATTTTACTTTCCGATAGTTTGATTTTTGAATTTTCGGTTTTTCCATTTTTCGATTTGGGATTTTTCAATTTTTCGGATTTTTAATTTTTCATATTTCGATTTTCGATTTTTCAGATTTGTGGATTTGTGTCCGTTATTTCGATTTTTAGAATATTGATTAATCGAATTTTCGATTTTTGAGCATTTCGATTTTTCGATTATCATTTTTACGATTTTTCAAAATCTCGATATTCGAGTTTTCGACTTTCCATTTTTCAAATTTTCAATTTTTAATTTTGCTTTTTTCGATTGTTGCTTTTTAGAATTTTCCCTTCTTCAGCTTTTAGATTTCAATTTTGTCACTTTCCGATTTTCCACTTTTCGATTTTCAGTTTTCCGATTTTTTGATTTTTCAATTTTTACGCCTTGCAATTTTTTTTACTTTTCGCTTTTTCGAGTATTTGTTTCATCGAATTTTCGATTTTTCGAGTTTTCGATTTTTCGGTTTTACCATTTTCCGATTTTCCATTTTTAGATATTTTTCGATTTTTTTGATTTTTCGATTTTTCTGTTCGTCAGTTTTGAGACTTTGCAATTTTTAGTTTTCCACTTTTCTATTATTTTAGTTTTGGATTATTCGATTTTTGAATTTTGTTTTTTTTTTTTTTCATTTTTCGATTTCCGATTTTTTAATTTCGATAATATAATCGAAAAATGCAAAAAAATTGCAGTCTAAAAACTGAAACGAACAGAAAAATCGAAAAAGCAAAAAATTGGAAAAACAAAAATTCGAAAAATTTAAAATCGAAAAAGTGGAAAATAGAAAATCTGAATAAAGAAACTTGGAAATTCTGAAAATTGGAAAATCGAAAACCAAAAAATCGGGAAGTAACAAAATTGAAGTCTAACAGTTGAGAATAGAAAAATTGAAAAACCGAAAATTATAAAAATCGACAATGAACAAATTGAAAATCGCAAAATTTAAATTGAAAAATTGAACATGGAAAAATCGATGAATTGAAAAATCGAAAATTCGACTACTCAAATTTTCTAAAAATCGAAAAATCATAAAACTGAAAAATCCAAAATTCCAATGATCGAAAGTCTGAAAACTGAAAATCGAAAATTCTGAAAAGCGGAAAATAGAATATCGAAAAATTTAAAAGGAAGAAAATTGAAGTCTAAAAACCGAAGAATGGAAAAATTGAAAATCAAAAATTCGAAAAATCAAAACCGAAAAATTCAAAGATTTAAAAAGAAAATCGAAAAATCAAAAATCTGAAAATTGAAACTCGAAAATTTGGAAAATCGAAAAGTAAAAAAATTGAAGTCTAAAAGCAGAAAAATGGAAAACTAAACAATCGAAAATTCGAAAATCAAATATCGAAAAATCGAAAAGCCGAAAAGTCGAAAATTTGATAAATCAGATATGCGAAAAACAGAAAATCTGAAAATACAAAACTGGAAAATCAAAAATCTAAAAATGGAAAAACCGAAAATCGAAAATTCAATGAATCTAATACGTAAAATTCATAATATTGAAAACTCTAAAAGTCAACAATTCAAAAATCAAAAAATTGGAAAGTAAAATAATCGAAAAGTAAACAAATTGCAAAGCCTAAAAACTGACGAACAGAAAAATCGAAAAATCGTAAAATCAAAAAGTGGAAAATCGAAAACTGGAAATTGAAAAATCGAAGATTGGAAAATCGAAAATCGGAATATCGAGAATCGACAAATTAAAAAACCGAAAAATCGAAAAATTAAAAAATCGGAAATCGAAAAATGAAAAAAAAACAAAATTCAAAAATCGAATAATCCAA